GGCACAACGGACAGGTCACGTCTGGCTTCTGCCTTTAGATGAACTGCATCGCAGGGAGCCGCTCAGGCTGGAGCTTGTGTTCCTGCAGGGGAAGTGGTCGCAGCACGGAAAGGCTGGTCCTGCAGCGTGTGTTGCTGATTCCTGGGGTGAATGCCAGGACCCTCCTAAAAGGACCTGTTGCCAAACATGGGCCTCTACTGTCCTGGTGTCTCTACGGAATTAAAAATCTGAGCCCCCATTTCTAGCCCGGCAGGTCAGCTGGGAGGCTTGACTGGACAAAGGGGTGTGGGGGGGGGGCTGCCGTGGATCCTGGAATGAAGCTGATGATCCAAAGAGCCCAGGACCCCTTATGCCAACTCGCTCATGAGTCAGGGCACACCCGGGACCAGTCCCCTGTCCAGCTGGAGTATAGATCCAGCTCGGGACCCTCTCTCAGCACCGCAGACCTCTCCTATCTCTCTTGCTACTCCTCCTAGCAGTGTATTTCTTCAGTATTACTGGTTTTAGTCTACTGTGTGCTCTTGGCATATGTGCTGTTACAACCGCCGTCTATGTATTTCCTAAAGCTCCCCTGATCTGAGGCTCTTCTCCCAGCCACTTACTCTCTGTTGCTTCCACTCAGAAAGCCAGACTCTGAACTACAGAGCTGTTCCCACAACGGAATTCTGCCAGATCCCCTCCATTTTGCCACAAAAAACACCCCTAGACTGAAATTTAGTGATAAATAGAATTAACTGTAACCCTCTGGCACGAGTGTGATGACTACTCTTCCGTCCCAGGTCGGCTCTCAGATTGAATTTTATTACCGTAGTTGTCACACGAACACGCGGTTCAGACGGGCAGGCCAAGCTAAGGTTTTCCAAGTGCCTTTGACTGAGGATGGTAGACCTGACGTGTCTCAGTCGGGTCTTCCACCGAAGTGGAAGTCTCTAGGCCCGAGGCCCAGAGTCTGGATGGTCACGCAGGATGCCAAGCCACCCTTGGTGTGCGGAACCCGGGGGGCGGTGGGCAAAAGGAGGTTCCGGCTGGACAGCAGTTGAGTCCTTGGGAGGAGATGGACTGCAGACAGGCTGCGGTGAGAGAGAGTGGAATTGGACGTCTCTGCCTGCCTCCGACGTCACGCTCTCCAGTAAGGAAAATCAGTTTCCCTCCTGTCTTTCAGAACTCTTTTCCTGGAGAGAGTTAGACTCCGGGAGAGTCGCCTCCGCCAAGTCCTCCACTGAGACCCAGTCCAGGAACTGCTGAGTTTGCTTCAGGAAGCCGCTCCTTTTATGCGCCCTTACCAGGCTCGGACTCGGGCCCCGGCTGCGGTACCAGTCTTTAAACTCAGGGTGTGTTAAAGACTCTCACACATAGTGCTCACAGGCGCCTTCGTATTTTTTAGTTTCACTTTTAGGGTTCTGTATTTTCATGTTATTTGTAAGCCTTTATATGGTCGTCACACCATCCTTTTGCATTCCCTCTTCGGGAGTGTGAAGTCACTGAATTGTGTCCCTCTCTAGGATTAACCTTGACTCACTGAACTGCAGTGGAGTGGGCAGGGCCATTCCTTTCTTATGATTTTTTTTTAAATGATTAACCATTAACTGGCTCTCCCCGTATTCTTAGGAACTTGGAAAACTGATTGTGTTACATTCCTGATAAAATCCTCTGTCTCTCTGAGTGAGAGGCGCATCAGAGACCGACACTAACTGATGCAGAGAAAACCCCCCACTGGCAAAGTCACACACCTGCCTCCTGCCACCGAGACGCCCACCACTTCCTGGGGCTCCCCTCACATCCCTGCGCACCTTGTAAAATCCCAGCACTCCTGCCACTCGGGGAGCAGGTTGTTTTAAGGTCCCTGTCCTGCTGACTCTCTTGATGACCATCTGGAATAAGATGCCATCCTGTGAAAACATTCTCGTGATTCCGAGTTTGGCTTTCTGGGTGCAAGCAAAAGGTCCGGTTTGCTCGTTCACAGGAGGACATTATGAGGAGGTGGCACCATGGGGGACGGGCAGCAAAGTGCTCAGAAGAGGCTGCACCTCCAGTGGCAAGAGAAGGGAGACTCAACAGGAAAGGACAGAATGTGGGAACATGCAGGGTGCACATGGTCTCTTCACTCTCAGGTCCAGGGGGCGCTGGGCAGCCTGGGGGTGGTCAGTCACAAGGCTATTGATAATATTTCTGGAGTAGTTGCTCTCATCTGTATTGTCAGTGAAAACAGCCCTCATCAGGCACTGATGTTATCAGCATCCTCAGAAAAATCTCATTAACACTTTGATGAGGCAGCCCTCATCCAGGCAGGCCCTGAGGGGTGCAGTACACTGGTCTCTAAGGCAGGGCTCGTGTTCCCCACTCACGCCTGACTGCAGCACCATGCCCCCAGTGGGGAGCCCTCTGCTGAGCTGTGTCCTTCCCTGTGTTTTGGCCTCTGCCTCGGACATGGGCCTGTCCAGCCTTGTGTGTGCCCCAGATGCTCTGCCAAACCTGCACAGACCAAGAATTTTAACAACCATTTGTGGTGGGGCCTTCCCAAGGACAGCGTGAACACACGGAGGCTCACTGCCTTGTGTGTCCTGAACGGCCTGGTTAGCTTTGCTTTGCAGGCCCTGGTGTCGATACTCTAGGAATTGTCTGCAAATGTGGCTTCTGTAGTTAAGAGCAGTCTAGTACCTATACCTGGTGTGTGACTCAGCACTGGCTGAATGTTTTGAGGCCATGACTTTTGTGCAGGACAAATATAAGCTGGGCATTGTCAGCTGGGCATTGTCATTCCATTGTCTCGCTATGGGAAAAAAGAAAATGAATCCAAAAAGGCCAAGTTTTCATAGGAAAAGGTCATGGTCTCTGTCCTTGGAAGGAACTGGAGATTATTATTAAATTGACCACAAATTCCTTCACTGTAACTTCCGAAGGGGCCTTGCACTTGAGACATCTCCCACCCTGGACTTGTTGATTCTACAGTAATAGGACAGCCTGGGGGAGTGAGTATCGAGAGGCTGGAGATGGGGGATGTGGGTGGGAAGCTTCAGGAACTCAGATTCCATTCCAGGTTGGAATGACAGGTAATTTGGAAGAGAGCAGAAAGGGAGAAATGGAGGCCTGACATCACTCACCTGGGAGTTTCAGCTTCAACAGCGAGCGCTCTATCAGAGGCCCCCCAGGGAGACGAGGCTGAGAAGCCTCAGCTCTGATATCTCACATAGACCCTCCCCCAGTGACACCCCCATCACAGTCCCTGGGCGGGCGGGCTCACTAGGCGCAGACCTACAGGGCTGAGCCGCAGCTCCAGGAACACAGCCCCAGCTCCCTGGCAAGATGCTGAAAAGCACCAGCTCAAGCACAGACAAGGGTCTGGCCAGAAGCCAACACATTCTCCTCATAGCACGGACTCAGGCAGGCAGCGGCCCAGTGACATAATGGTGCTGGGTGGGGCAGGGAGTGAGGGGTTGTGTGTAAGCTAGGTTCCAGCACAACCATTATGCAGCCCTACCTGCAGTGGGAACCCCAAAATATAGACACCCCTTAGGGTAGGTCTATAGGATAAGGTGTTGAAGGAGACATTTGGAGGGGATGTGAATTGCAGATGAGGCTCCTCCGTGTGTTCACGCTGTCCTTGGGAAGGCCCCACCACAAATGGTTGTTAAAATTCTTGGTCTGTGCAGGTTTGGCAGAGCATCTGGGGCACACACAAGGCTGGACAGGCCCATGTCCGAGGCAGAGGCCAAAACACAGGGAAGGACACAGCTCAGCAGAGGGCTCCCCACTGGGGGCATGGTGCTGCAGTCAGGCGTGAGTGGGGAACACGAGCCCTGTCTTAGAGACCAGTGTACTGCACCCCTCAGGGCCTGCCTGGATGAGGGCTGCCTCATCAAAGTGTTAATGAGATTTTTCTGAGGATGCTGATAACATCAGTGCCTGATGAGGGCTGTTTTCACTGACAATACAGATGAGAGCAACTACTCCAGAAATATTATCAATAGCCTGACCTTTATCCTCAGAAAGGGTCAGGTCAGCAAGGAGAAGAGGTGAGGTCAACTGCCTGGTGAAACTCCCTGGGCCCTGGGGCTGGGTTGCACACCTGTGCAGGTGCTTGACCTGGACCTCTCCTAGCCAGGAAAGGAAGCCTGGAAGGAGGCAGTGTGGGCTCGGCTGAGTGTAGGTTAGATGTGATCTTACACTTGTTTTCCAACACCATTGTCCCATGTAGACAAAGGTGACCCCCTTCACTACAGTCCACACTTTGAGTCACAGGTCCCAGTCCCTCCAAACTTCTGTGGGTGTGGCATACAAGGCTTCTGTCACGTTAGACAAGAGCAGGACGTAGATAACCCTGGGGCAATAGGTACACACCCTGAGGAACCCCCGGCGGGCCAGTGACCAGCGCCCCAGGGACTGATCAGTGGATGTCTTGTTAATAAGATTGGAGCCCTGGGTGGGAGTCGGGTGTAGACTCACCCTCCCTAAAGCCCAAATCCAGTGTTTGGTTTGACCCCCTTTTCTGGCAATAAAAAGGCCAGGTTCTTGCTCTCAGGCAGCGTTCTGCATCCCACAGCCTGCTCTACCACTAGGGTTTCTTCTCCCCATTATTGTGGTGTTGCTAACGCAACACTCCTCGGGTAGGCCCAGCTGGAGGCCCGGGGGTTTGTTAGCTCACAGCTCTCTGACACTATGGGCAAGAATTCTGGGGTGAGGTCAAATGTCCTGTAAATATACTACTGAGATAAGATGATGCAGCATTTATTTTACTGATCTTTTATTTTGTATCACTTTGTTTTCTATTTCTTCTTATATGTGCGCAAAGGACATAATGCAAATCTGGAAATGTCAGACTAGGCTTGAAGCTCTTGCTTTGCATTTCATTGGGAAAAATGGATTGACCTTGAGTGGCTGACACCAGAGCTGTGAACAACCCAGGGCGCCTTGAAGATCCTCCAATTCATTTTACACGTTCATCAGGCCCTGTCTTCTGCCAGCTCTTATTACGGATTTGAGAATGAAAGTCACCGCAAAATCTACTTCACATTCTGTTTCAGGAGGAATGCTGACTTCTCCTCATAAGATTCCCCTGAAGTCTCTACATCCTCAATTTCAAACTGAGAGGAAAACGGAGACACGGGCCCCCAAAGGCCATGGTTCCAGGCACAGAGTGTGGGTAAAGGCTTCAACTTTTATTTAAGGCAAAAACAAACTGTGGACACCCATGGCTTCAAGATCAATCAAAAACAGGTCACTCTGTCCTCTGGCAGGATCACTATTGAGGACACCCCCTTTGGTCAGTGTCAGAGGAGGTGGCCCCTGAGGCTCATGGGTCAGCCTGGTGGTCACCTCCAATTCCTTTACCCCAAAAAGTATCTTCATCTTTTCCTCCCCGGACCGTTTGGATCCTGTAGGAAGAGAAGACAGCAGGCCCAAGGCACAGGTTGAGGAGGCAAAAGCAACAGAACGGTAGGGCTTGCCCTCTCAGACTGATCACGCCCTCAGTGTGGATTTCTCGTGTATTAGGGTGGACATGAGGTCCAGGGCCTTGGTGGGCACTCAGGAACAACATATAGATATGTGCTATTCCACAGCCCCGAAACTCCGTTCTTTGCTCCTAACACTCCCAGAGTCCTGGGTAATTCAGGGAGAATTCTGAGAAGAGGGAGAGATGTGTCTGCTAAAGTCACGAGAGCCCCCTCTCTACACTCTATTTCCCACCCCCCGATGTATCACCTCCTCACCCAATCTCGGCCTATAAAGCACTTCAGGTGTCTGTGAAGGAACACGGTGCTCCCTGGGGAGAGCCAGGCGAACAGGACATCCATCAGAAAGGTCGGCAAGTAGCTCATGGGGATGTGGATGAACTGGGCGTCCCAGCCAGCTGAGTATCGGGTGCGGGGGTGGCAGGCGGTCAGGGCATGCTCCATGCAGTCCGTCACCAAGGACGGATTGTTAGGACACAGTGGATCCAGCATTGCCATGAATGTCTTGTCTGTCCAGAAAGACAAACCATCCCAATATAGTCTCACTTCCCAACCCTCCCTCTGTGAACAACTTAAATCAAAAACTTTCTAGAAATTGCTGGGTCACCCCAAATTCACACTTCAAGTCATTGCCATGGAGTCACTAGAGTGTGCCCCAATTCTTAACCTGCCAGTTTCCACAGTTAGACCATCTGGTGATCCTCTGGGATGTGTGTGCTGCACACACTGCCTCCAGACACTAGACACGTGAGCACTGAAAGCAGCTGCTCTGTGGTAGTTTACCAGGAACCCAGGGAGCGCCCTCTTTGGCTACATTCTTCCCCAGATCATGAGGGATTCATATTGGACTGTGCCGCAGATGTCAAGCCTGGATTCCTTTCTTCTTGTCCAGTTGACCACCTGGGACCAGTGGATTTAAATGTTCAACTGTGTGGGGAGTCAGACCTGGACATGGACCTGAGACAGGAGGAGGTACTAAGCAGGGACCCAGCTTCCAGAATGGTTTGCTTCTCGCCCTGCGGCCCACAGCTCACTCACATGATGCCAGAAACTTCTCCCCATAGATCTCCTTGATATCTGGGCTGGCCCGATCCCATACATTTTGTAAATTGTGAGAAATATTCTGGGCAGAGGTCATAGCGGTCTTGAAGTAACCAGGCTCGATGATAGCCACCTTCACCCCAGAGAAATAGAGCTCCCTCCTGCAGGCAAACAGGGAGAGGACCCTGGTCAGAGATCTTGGGACAAAACACACACAAATAATGAGCAAAAACATAGATGCTTAAGACAGAATTGGGTGGGATAAACTCATCCAATTTAGAGTCAAAGTGCAGAAAAACCTGGAAAAAGGAACTGTTATGATAATACCAGTTCTGGACATGGTTTGTACATTTCCTCAAATGTCTACACACACTTCTTTTTTTTTTTTTTTAAGATTTATTTATTTATTTATACATGCACTGGGTACAGTCAGAAGTGCGGGAGGGTGAGAGAATTCACCAGAGCCAGAGCGGGGAGCAGAACAGGCAGACTGACGAGGTACACTGCTGAGGGGAGCAGCGGGGCGCCATGTGGGATCCTCCTTCGGTGGCCGGGGAGCAGCTGGGGATCGAACTGGTGCTGCAGAGGCTGCAGGCAGCTTCGCAACCCAGCACTCAACCGCTGCGCCACCAGGGGAGGCTCCATAAGCCTAATTCTAATCCTACTTTTAATCCTACCAGTTCCGCTGCGAGGCTCCACTTGGTGCTATGCTCTCCCATGTCTCCCTTATTTACACCTGCACCCGGCTGTGCCCATTTGATCTTTTCCATACTCCTCAGTCACCTTCTTTGCCATCCCTCTCTACTCAAGCCCCTGCCTCTGTCACATGTGCTATTGTAACTGTCTTCTGAAGAGCATCTTTCTGCCTGCTATTGCCAATTCCCCGGTTAGAGGTACGCCTTGCAGATACTTGGATCTCAAGTGCTGAGTTAAATAAGCAGTTACCCTGATGACTATATTCCCAGGGGTCTCAGTCACCATGACAAAAGTCACAACCTGTCAAGGGCCCACATCGCTTCAGAGCCCCTCATGTCTGCCTGCCCAACACCCCTGCAGAGACTCGGCCTTGCCATGTAGAACCATGAAGAACCATGAAAAGCCTCGGCACGGCAGTCCGTCATGCTCATGCTGAGACTGGACTCGGGACAGACTCTCACCCAGAAGGCCTTCAATCCTATTCTTCTAGGTTCTCAGTTACATACTAAATCCTCAGCTCAGACCACTGCCAAGGGCCCTCCACTAATTCAGTGGACTACCACGCCGGCAAGGTGACTTTGGTCACACAGTCCTGAGGTGGCCTCACCATCCCTGCAGCTCTCTTTCTAAACCGACACAGTGTTTATGCCAGGGAAACATTGCTGGTCTTCACCGCTCCTTACTGTGAGTCACAGCCACCCAAGGAGAGTAATTACTGTCTCCGCCTCAAGGGCTCCACAGATATCACAGTACTTATCGATTTGAACCCCTCAAACAAATTATTGCAGTTGAAATATTGTTTCAGAAACTTTCTGAATGGGCCCTGGTCCAGGGCAGGGATATGTGGAAACAAATGCTATAGGACTGGGGCCCATGCTGAGATCCAGAAAGAGAAAGGGGCAGTAGCAAGAAAGGGCTCTAGAAGGAAGAGTCTCCAAGTCTGTGATGAACCCCCAGGAACAGGGTCCCTGGACTAAAGGACACAGGAGGACAGAGGGAGGGCTCTGGGCGTGCAGTACCTGAGGGAGTCCGAGAAGGCCTCGACGCCAAACTTGGAGATGCAGTAGCCCCCTCCAATAAGGGACACGCGGCCCAGGACACTGGAGACATTGACCACGCGGCCCCTCGCTTTCCTCACTAGGGGCAACAGGCTCAGGGTCACCTCGATCACCCCCAGCAGGTTCACGTCCAAGACCTTCATGAAGTCCTCTTTGCTCAGCCACTCATTCGGGGCCACGGGCACAGAGATGCCAGCATTATTGACCAGGCCCCAGAGTCCTGGACACAGAGGGGAAGAGAGAGCACCTCTGAGCTGTGCCCTGAGGGAGTCCCCAGCTATGGTCCCCACTCACCCTCCATCCAGGGGGGACCATGAGCAGGCAGCACGGGGAGAAGGTAGAGCAGAGACAACAGGTCGCCTGCAGAAGGGGAGAGCGGACCCTCCGAGCTGCTGGAGGACACCACTTAGGCCCAAAGATCTGGGCTTCCACACTAAGGGAGGCCTAGTACACATGAAAGGGTTCCTCCTCATTTCAGATTTTCTGCACAGCCAGCGTCCCCTGCTGGGTCCCAGAAAGGGTCCTGACCCTCCCAGGCATCACGTCTGCGGGGTGAGGGAGAACCCCACATGCAGGGACCTGCCAGAGCCAATCACATAGGGGCAAACCCTCCCCATGCTCCAGGGCCCAGGCGGGGAGCTCAGGGGCAATGGACAGAAAAGAGGCTCATGCTCCCTGCTGGGTGAGGTGAGGACAGCTGGCGGGACTTCTGGACCTGAAAGCAGACTGGGACACCCCATGCAGCAGACAAAGGGGCTCCCCTAAACAGAGAGAGAAAGGACTTGGGAAGTGGGTGCTACCTCTGTGCCCTGTGCGCTCCTTCACCCACTGGGTGGCCGCAGCGATGCTCTCTGTCTTGGTGACATCCAGAAGCACGGTCTCCAGCCTGCTTGATGCCAGGGCCCTCAGCTTGTCTGCCCCCTGCTCCGTCAGACACGCAGCCAGCACCCTCAAGCCCCGCTGGTCCAGCTGCCTGGCCAGCAGGTTCCCGAAGCCCGAGTCACAGCCCGTGATGAAGACATACTTGTCTGAGAGGTTGCTCACCACCTGCCTCTCCCGGTACCAGCGCAGAAGGTAGTACAGGCCCATGAGGGCCAGCAGGTACAGCCACATGGCCACGCGGGGACAGACGCAGACAGAAAGCAGTGAGAGAAGAATCCAAAGTCCTCAATCTGGACGTCTGTGCCTCTAGTCTAGCTTCAGGATCCCTGGCAGCGAATACTCACTTCCCTTCCTTATTAGAGTCTTTCTAAAATGCTTTTCCTATCCCCAATCCACTCTTCGGATGACTTTTATAAGGGCTAATAGAAGCCCTTGGCAAGCTCAATTCCTGTCCCTCCCCAAAACATCAATTTCAGCAGCACCTCTTCCTTCTGTCTCTGTTACAGTCTCCCCAACATGTGTGGGTCCCAAGACGCCCTCGGTGAGGGAATTCACCAGAGAGTTTCGCTCTCGAAAAAGGAAGACAGGACTGGAGGAGCAAAGTCCAGCCTGACTCCCTACAAGAAGCCAGGATGAGGCTTTTAAGGGCTAGGCCCACCGGCGTGGCCAGGGCAGCACCATCATTGTGTGTCCTGGGCTGAACCACACGACATGTGCTTAGGGTCACATACGCCCTCACCTGTCACCTGTTTCAGCAGCATTTGCCAACTGTGTAAAGTGTTCAGGAAATCCAGAAAGAATATTAGGTCATGAGGAAAGGCAACTGGGTCAGTCTACTGGGTCACGGTCCTTCTACGGGAGGTTTGGGTAAGGCCCACCGAACTGCCTTTCAGTCCACCTGTTCAAATAGGAGGTTGAGCAACTCTCATTCTACTGGCTCACAGTTCCTTTTACCCAGGCCGTCTTGTCTGCACACAGCTCTCTTGTCTCCCCATGAAGGCGCCCAAGTGCCAAAGGGCCCCCACACCGAGCAGCAGAGCCCATCCTGCTCTGGGTCAGGTCAGAGCTGCTTCTGCTTACATGAGTGCCAGCCCGCGGGACCCTGGTGTTCCTGGGCTCAGGGGCACGGGACAGACTCCATGATGGGTCAAGACAAGTTTACAGTCACACCTCTCTGGAGCTGGGTGGCCTCAGCTGGCTCCGCACACAATTCCACCCCTGACAGACTTAGTCACTGTCACCCTCTCCAGGATGAGAAGGAAAAGTGTAAGTTTTCTTCCTGCAAAGCAGTTTCCTGGGGGCAAAAGGCATTGTGGGTAGCACAGGGGTATCTCACCTCAGGCAAAGAAAGGCGGGGGGAGCAATGGAGTGTTGCTGACTGGACTCACGCAGAGCAGGTCTCAGAGGGTGACACGCGGCAGACGCCCTGTCCCCAGTGCTGTGACGCTGGCATTGTCCTCTGCCCTCACCCGAGGCCTCCCCTGCCCAAGCCACATCTGACCCGAACCTCAGACCCTGAGACTCCAGAGGCAGAGAAGCTGAACTAGAGCAGCGCTGTGTGTCTCACCTCACCCGAGCAGGCAGCGCCAAGACCCCAGAAGGGGAAGGGCAGTAGTTCAGCTGGCATCAGGGTGACCATGGAGAGGGGGAGAGTGCTGGGAGTGGTGTTGGGACTGTCGTGTGGCATCAAGAAACCAGATACCGGGGCTCACACACCAGCACTTGTCTCAGCACATCTACATCCAAAGGCTGAGCACCCTCCAAGGAGTGAAGGGGTTATAAACAGTTCAGCCGGTGCTGGGCAAGTTGACATTGTCACTGCTCAAGGTCAGAGTGACATGAGTTACGGTCCAAGAAATGTAGCAAGAAATGTAGCAAGGGGCCTGCTCCCGCACCTGGCTTCAGGAGGGAGAGCGGTTCTGGGCATTACCGCTCTGTCCTCCTCCATCGCAACTCTGATGGGCAGGTGGGGAAGAGAAGGCCGGGAGGAGGAGACGTCCCACAGGCCCAGGGCCAACGCCACGGGACCGACCCCATCAGGCACAACGGAATGAAGGGGCCAGATTCACTCTTGAGGTGTGATCATCTCCGCAGGGCCTGGCCGCAGGCTGGTCCCTCATCGTGGGAGGTTGGAGCAGCATGAAAAGGCTGATCCGGCAAAAAGCCCGTCACTGCCCTGGGCGGGGACTGTCCGGACCCTCCCACCAGGATCCCGGCAGATGGCGAGGAAGAAGGCCAGGAGCCAGGAAGAGGCCTGGAAACACTCTGTGGACCAGGGAATCCTGCCAATCCCAGGCAGACACCGCCGCGACCAGCTCAGAGTCGGGGTTGCTTTCCTTCGAAGGAACCTTGGGGTTTGCCCTCAGTGGTCCTGAGTTCCTAAAACATAAACTCGTAAGGAACAGCGGGCAGCCATCTCTCCACACGCAGGCCGGCCTGTTCCCTGGTGACTCTGAGAGTACCGGGACAGCCTGGGGGGGTGAGGGTGCCAGAGCCCTGAGGCCTTTCCAGCAAGAGTCACAGGCATTTCTGTCCAGAGAACTGGGGAGAAAAGGAGGCTGAGCTGACACTGTCTTGCGTGGGCGCTCAGGGCCGCAGGGAGAAATCTTGTAGGGCACCCCCAGGTGAAACCGCCTCCCTGAGGTGGGAAAACACTGAGGGGGTCGGTCCTGCCCACACACCAGCTCCAGGGCACCTACTTGGCCTGGGGCCACTGGCGCCCAGGAGCGCCCCTCCCCAGTGGTGCTGGGCAGCATCAGTGGGGTCAGAGGAGGGAGTCAGCTGGTCTGCGACACCTCCCCCTTCCCCACCCAGCAGGAGTCCTCTGAGGGGCAGGAGTTGCGGGTAGGAGGGAAAGACAGCCCTTGCAAAGGGCGCAGAGGGCGAGGGCAGTTGGCAAGCTTGTCCCCAGCACTACAGCTGAGCAGCTACGCAACCTACCGGGACCCCCAAAATGGAGGCGCAGCTCTGCCCTCAGGTGCTGATGGTCCCGATGGGGCAGGAGTGACAATGGCGGGCTGGGAGTCACGACCCTCCTCCTCAGAGAGGACGGAGGCGGCCAGGGGCACTGAGGCCCGCTCCCTCCTAAAGTCCACGCACCCTCAGGCGCTGGTTCCACAGCTGCCCAGGTGCTTGGCCTGGGCCTGGTCCCCTAGAAAGGAGGCCCGGGGGCAGGAGGTGTGGGGTCGATGAGTGCAGGTGAGGACTTGACCCATTTCCCTTGGACTGCGTCCTCAGTGTCCTTTCTGCTCCCCCCGGACGCGTTAGTGCTCAGTCCACACTTGGGGTCAGAGGTCCTATTGTAACTGGAAAATGCCGGTCGGGCTGCCTGTGGCCACTGGAAGCCCATCACAGAAACAGGAGCCGACTGTAAACGTGCCTTTGTGGTCAGAGGGTCAGCCATAGGAGGACGGGGTAGTTTTATTTTTTATTTTTTAAGATTTATGTATTTATGCATACAAGAACTGGGTACAGGCCAGAGATGCAGGGGATGAGAGGATTCACCAGAGACAGAGTGGGGAGCAGAAAGGCAGATCGGCCAAAATCCACTGCTGAGGGGAGCGGCGGGGAGACAGGAGAGGTCTGCTGCACCCTGTGGGTTGCTCCCTGCCCGGGCATGGAACGAGCTGCAGTGGCTGCCCATAGCTTCTTAGTGCTGAGACCTAACCCTTGCACCACCAGGAAGGCCCCTTGACCTTTTGTTCTGCTCACTCCAAACCCACCACCACAGTGCAGCGTGCCCGGTGCGCTCTGCCTTTAGCCCCAAACCAAGCCCCACGAGCAAACACAGACGTAGGGGACGTGGTCTCTTCTCTCAAGGAGCACATGGTCTTGAGAGCGTTTACTTATTGGGTACCAAGTACTGTGTTGAGTTTTTATTTTTGTTCTTTTTTAGATTTTTATTTATTTATTTTTTTTACAAGAGCTGGGGTGCAGGCCAGAGATGCGGGGGGCGAGAGGACTCACCAGAGACAGTTGGGGAACAGAACAGGCAGACTGATTGAAATCCACTGCAGAGGGGAGCAGCGGGGTGACAGGAGAGGTCTGCTGCACCACATGGGTTGCTCCCTCGCGCATTGCTTAACCCTTTGCGCCACCAGGGAGGCCCTACAGGGGTAGTTTTTACCACAAAAACCCCTTCAGGTATGGCACCTGACGCTGGCCTTCTCCAGTAAGCTAAAAAGGACAGTTTGTCATCAGCAAACCTCCCAGCACAGCAGCCACGGCGGGTTCCCTGTCTCCACTGTGTTCCCCAAGTGTGCTGTTCCTCTTTGCCTGGGCTATACCCTTTCTCCTGGGCCCGAGTAAACACCCTATTTTCTTGATGGGGTCAATATTTGCCATTTCTTTAGATGCCACTGGGGCGAGACTCCCAGTTCAAAACCAGAGCTTTAGTTCAGTCCCCCGGGCTCCTCCCTCCCTCCCTCTGATCCCTCTCCCTCCTCCTCCCCTGCAGGATGTCTCTAGTTTATAATTGTCCGTTTTTGCTTTGTTGTGGTTTGTACTGTTATTTTTTTACACTGATGTCTTATTGGGTTCCCCTATATTCCTGCTATAAGTGAAACCTTCAATATTTTTCTTTCTCCTTCTGGCTTATTTCACTGAGCATCATTCCTCCTAGCTCCATCCACGTTGCTGCGAATGCCATGAGTTTATCTTTTTGCTGAATAATGTTCCGTTGTGTATATGTGCCACATCTTGCTGAGGTGACGGTGCACGGGTGCACTGGGAAGGAAACTCTATGGGGACTCCACCTGAGGGGGTGGGGGAAGCAAATATTGATTAAAAATGAACAATGACGTAAAAAATAAAAAAGTTTATTATGAAAAAAAAGACTGAAGAGTGAAGGATAAGTGAAGCAAAATTATGATTGCAATACATGGGATAATTTATTAAATAGCAATAAGAAGTAAAAACAAAATGCAATAAGTATTCAGGATAGAAGATTACATCGGCTCTATTAATTTAAAAAAACAAGCGTTAGTTCAAAGAAAACAGGTTATTGATCACATAGAGCTTGCAAGTAGCCCGTGCTGTGTGTCCGAGCAGATTCCACACTAGGTACGGTGCCTGCCCTTCTGCCCTAGCCCTACCACTATCTCACTACGCCCTGGCCCTGTGAAGGCCCAGCATGGGCTTCCAGCTCCTCACAGGTCACTGACATCTGGGGAGGGCTCCTGGGGTGAGTGCAACCGCCTGAGGCCACAGTGGGGATGTCCTGGTCTTTACTT